GAGTTTTTCTTTATTTGTTGATGTAAGTTAGTCTTTCTTTATATGTTGATGTGAGTTAGTCTTTCTTTATATGTTGATGTGAGTGAGTTTTTCTTTATTTGTTGATGTAAGTTAGTCTTTCTTTATATGTTGATGTGAGTAAGTCTTTCATTATATGTTGATGTGAGTGTGTCTTTCTTTTTATGTTGATGTGAGTTGGTCTTTCTTTCTATGTTGATGATTTCGTAGGGGCTGTACCTCACATCCCAGTTTCGCGAAAAAAAAATGTTTGTGTATATCGGGATTTCTTGTTTCATTCTCATGCATAAACGTAACTTTTCCTTTCATTCTCATGCATATATGAGACTAGTCCTATCATTCTCATGCATATACGAGACTATTCCTTTCATTCTCATGTATATACGGCTCTGTATCTGTCTATCCCTTGTACACACCCGTCCTTTCCGCCCCTCTCATCCGTTTCCCTTAACCACAGATGACCGAGGTTATCCACGAGGCTGTGGCTGATGCCGTGGCCATGGCTCAGGCAGCGTGTATAGAGAACATGCAGATGCTACTAGAGCAGCAGCACTCATCCTCTGCCAGCTCAGACAGTGGCCGGTCAGATCACTCGGACTGTCCCAGCGACGACGCACTCCGACCCAAAGGCTCGCGCAGCCGCACCCACCCACACATCAGCACCCGCACATACCACACTATCAACAGCCCCAACACCGGCGTGGGTGGTGGGACCGGCCCGTATGCACGGTCACACGCACAGACACACGTGCTGGGCAGCTCACATCCACACCGTGGGCGAGCCGAGGTCAAGACGGGTAAGAAGGAGAAGAAAGGCAAAGGCACACGTGTGCGTGCACGGGGGAGTGGCAGCAACGCAGGAACGTCACACCGCACACACCCCAGGCAGTATGCGAGTTCAGACCATAGCCAGGTGCGGATGGATGGGCCGGATTACTTCAACCCGACGGGTAACCATGGCAACTTCCCGTTATAGCCAGGCGTGAATTTATTGAATAAACGTCAAATGCAGGCATCTCTTGGTGCACTCACCCCACAGTTTGATGGATCTGATTGGCTGCTTGGTGTGCTCAGGGTATTTGTATGGGGGTAGTCTATTTATATCGTCCAATCATTGGGCAGGAACGTCTCTGTCTGTGTCTAGGCCCAGGCATGGTTTTACTACCAAGCGCACTCCCGTGCTATAGCCATGTATGTCATCATGTACCTACATTCGCGTTCTATTCTGTGTACGTCGTCACACTATCCACCCGAGGCCTCGAAGCTGTCTATACCAAGTACCTGGCTGAGTTTGTAGTTAGGAACTGGTTGAAACCCTAAAACATTAAACCCTAAACCCTTGGCTTCACTTTCTTATTCTAGCTCCGTGTCCGTGGACGCTGAGAGCATATCCCCAACGCACACACTCTCACCAATGTCAATACGTACGCTCTAAATGCACGTATTCGCTGAACTCATTGTGTGTCTGTATATAACTCTCATACGTCGTCGCATACATACACGGTTGCAATCCGTCCCTCTGAAGAGGTTCATGCCACTCAATACCATACCGTCCAGATTGTTGAGTATCAAGTTCAATATAGCACATGATATATCGGACCTACTTTGGTTTCTTGTTTCCGACCGCAAGGGTATAAATGCATTGACAAAGGAGTTTTCTATCTTGAATCTGATAGAAAGGGGTCTATATTTTTATTCCCATCTTTAATTTGCTGCCGCGCTCAGGTTTTATACTGTTACCACTAACGCTGAGGTAAGAAAAGTACCGAACTGATTGACAGCAAGGGTGTATGTATTTGATTTTGTATTCCATTTGTTCGGACCAATATGTTTTATCGTGCTATAGGAAATACCAATCATATTCAGTGTTTGCATTACGTTTTTAAGAAATGTATTTATAAACGTCTATAAACGCCTAACAGGTATGTACACGACTCCACATCGCCTTACGATGTATAGCATCTCAACTACTGTATCCGTATATGAGTCATCCATGAGAACTTCATTGTGAGGCATTGTAGTGTTGTTCAGTCGATACAGTGCTACATCAATGCACATCCCACGATGCCGTATAAATAAAAGTGGTTTACTACAATTAAAAGTGCTTTATTACAAATAAAAGTGCTTTTATTACCAATAAAAGTGGTTTATTACAAATAAAAGCGATTTATTACAAATAAGTGGTTTATTACCAATAAAAGTGGATTATCACATATAAAAGTGGTTTATTACAAATAAAAGTGGTTTATCACAAATAAAAGTACTTTACAACAAATAAAAGTGGTTTATATACTGACACTGTTGGTTGAGATTGTATTGCTATGCGCGTGGGGCAGGTGATCTTTATTGAGTGCTGTCGTGCGCCGTCGCTTCTCTGAGCGATCGTTGTACACAAACAGTCACCAATCATTGCGTGAATAAAACCAGGTCTTCCGTTCTGGCGACTGTTTCGCGCCATACTAGGTCGTGCGTATCAGTTGACGTTGGTAGTACAATACACAGCCTCCCCTACATTGTAAGTCGAGTGCATTGTAATAGATGTTCTTATGGATTCAGTCTAGGGATATCAGAGGTCATCTTATTCCCTTGAAAGAGTGGACTAACCCCTAAACCCTAAACCCACAAACAGAGCCCCATTTTGCTGTAAGCGCTGGGTATGGTCACCGATTCATCACCATGGCAACCACTCGCACATCCTTCGGAGTTGCACATCTCTGTGCGTCGAACTGCCTATCACGTCCTGCAGACACACCACAGTAGCCGTTTATATACCCACTGGATTGTGCAGAAACTAAGCACGCACCCCCTCACATGGGTCGTTCTCTATCACGCTGTAGGGATGGTATGGCATATACTACCACTTGTGGGTTTGTGCATTAGCGAATCAGATGTCCAAAGGTTTCTCTGTGACCAGCACTCCGTCTTCATCGGCGTAGATGTATTCCCCAGGCCGAAAGGACACGCCAGCGAACTATAGGTAAAGCACACAGGCATAAGCATGGGTGTAAAGCACACAGGTATAAGAATGGGTGTAAAGCACACAGGTATAAGAATGGGTGTAAAGCACACAGGCATAAGCATGGGTGTAAAGCACACTGGCATAAGCATGGGTGTAAAGCACACAGGCATAAGCATGGGTGTAAAGCACATAGGCATAAGCATGGGTGTAAAGCACACAGGCATAAGCATGGGTGTAAAGCACACAGGCACAAGCATGGGTGTAAAGCATACAGGCATAAGCATGGGCACATGGACACATGCAGTGGATTGTACCCGTTGCTACATACATTCAATCAACGTAAAATGCATTCAATTAACCCGATACACAGTTAATCACGTGGACACAAGCAGTGGATAGTACCCGTTGCTACATACATTTAATTCAACATCCACCGTCCCCTTCTGCTGCTTCACTGACTTGCGAGGGCATGTGTTCAATGCCATGACTCCGATGGGTAACGTTTTGATGATGGCTGAGTCTCGCAGACACCCGTGGATAAGTACTCCAGCCCAGTTGTTTTGCACCGCTAAGAGAGCTAGCTGTAACGTAATGGGTACACACAGGTGTGATAGGTTAGACCACGTGGACTGAGACGAAAACGTACAATTAAATACGTTGATACAAAAAACTTGCAATTTCTACGCAAATAAGTAAATGAAACAGAAAACTTGATACTTCCATTCGAAAACGTGAATAAGGATGTAGAATACGTTTACAAGCTGTATGGAAGGACAGACAGAAATAAATTCTTTCAAAGGCACACTCCTTATAGCTGCACGATCATTTCAAGGAATTCTCGCTTAAGTAGCGATATAGACAGTACAACTATGACACCATAATTTCTGATAGCCAACTGATGGTTTTTGCGCAAGTTGGTATTAGGGTTTTAACCATATTGACATCGAAGATGCACTATCATACAAATAGCACAAACAGTAGAAATATATATAAATACGTTTATGTATATATATATATATATTAGATTATTATATTATAACATATATATATG